CTTGAGAAATGAACTCATGAAGTTACCTTCTGATATTGTGACTGCTGTAAGAGGAAAAGGATTATTAAATGCTGTTGTTATTAGAGAAACCAAAGGTATGGAGAGAAAACATTCTTCTCAAGATAGTATTTTTATAGGAAGAGCTAAAACCTTTCGTATTTTCTCTGGTCATTGGGTTCCCTGAAACTGTTGATTGACCTGTTGACCAAGTCTTTTAGGCTGAGTATCATCTGATTTATTTAATAGCCTTAAAAATATAGCTCATTCCTACATGAAGGCACATTTAACTTAATTTAACCTATTTCTGTTCCTTTAAGTCATTTGTTATACACCCTAGGTTAGTTATGCAGAACTTGGAGATTTAAAGTTATTTTCTGTTAGCTAGTCTTTATATAGCACTTCCTTAAACGTTTCCTCTTTGTTCTCCTTTCTTCCCTCACTTGAATCCTTGGCTTATCAGTAGAGGTCATAGGAGCAGTAGTAATAATGATATGAATGATGACAATGAGGACAGAAATCACTCCAGCTGCCACTTGATTGTTTGGTGTTTCAGCACCTCATTTGTAACCCCTAAGGGTTCCCTGCTGGATTTTTCTGTGATAACCCTTCCTTTTAAAGTAGTGATTCCAACATTCGTAGCATTTTAGAATCACCTGGAGAGCTTTTAAAAAGATTAATCCAAGCCTAGCCTCAGCTCAGAGATTCTGATTTGATGGGCCTGGGCTGAGCCCAGGCACTGGGTGATGCAGCGTGCAGCCAGGGCTGAGAATCACGCTCTCAAATGATGAGAGTCTATTCCCACAAGTTCAGGAAGCAAATCCATTTTCAGCATCTGTGGTGTTCCCTGGGATTTGAGTATTATTCATTCCATGCCAGTGAATTATTTGTCATGCCCAAATTCTTATCGCATAAGTTCTTCATGTAATTAACACAGCAGCCTTAGCACATAATTTTTTTGCTTTTTCATGTATGAAAAACTAACAAGCCATATGCCTAATCATACCACTCGAACCTAGGTACGTACTTGCTGACAAGGAACTTCCTTTTTAAGAAGAGAACAAAGCAAGCTTGAGTGGGTATAGTGGGAATTCTACTTGCCAGGCTGAACTGGGCCAGGCATACTACAAGGGGATGTTTCAACATTTGTGTTCAATCAACGTACATGTTTGACCATTTTTCTTTAGATTGTGATGCTTGGAAGGTGTGTCTGCGACTTCGAGATAATGGACTTCTGGCCAAGCCAACCCATGGCGACATCATCAGATTTGCACCTCCACTTGTGATCAAGGAGGACGAGATTCTGGAGGCTGTGGAAATCATTAACAAGACCATCTTGTCTTTCTGAGAGTGGTGACTATTTGCAGCCAGGCCTGGGAGCCAGCTGGAGACAGGCAGCTCCTTGCTGTCCTATAAAAGCCTCTGCGTTTCTGCGCTTAACGCAGGCACATTCCACCCCCTGTGTCTTCAAGGACTTTTAAAAAAAAATATATGTATTTTTTAGTTTATACATAACAGAATGACATAATCGTGCATGCAATTCACTATGTAACAACTGTAAGAATAGAATGGCATCTGTATTGTGTGTGTGTGTGTGTGTGTGTGTGTGTGTGTGTGTGTGTGTGCGTGCGTGCGCGCGCGCGCTTTCTAAGGTGAAGTGCATCCATCTGCCGCCTTTGGATCAAGCCCCATATAGTTTATATGCATTTTATAATTTCCTTGCTGGTGTAAATGTTTCATATTTGAAAAAGTTATATGGGTTTTACACAGAAGACTTGTTTAACTTTATGAAGTTGAATCATAATCACTGAATGTTAGGATTAATGGTTAAGCTTATATAAAATACTAGATTTAAATAAATTCATATTGGCCAACACCAGGATGTAGTCCGTGAGTGTCATTATTTTGAATTAAGAATTAATGTTTAACATTACCAAATTATGTTTTAAGTGTTGATACAATTTGTAAAAAATATTTATTTTCAGTTTTTCTTTAAATTTAAAATAAAGCTTATATTTAAAATGTCTATTTTGTGATTTGTATGCTATTATCAGTGTACAGTATTATTGATTACTTAACATATTACTATAGTGGGCCCCCTTATTCGTGGCTTTGCTTTCCGCAGTTTCAGTTACCTGAGGTTTGTTAACCCGTGGTCAACTGTGGTCCTAAAATATTAAATGGATGATTCCAGAAATAAAGAATTCAGAGGTTTTAAATTGCGTGCTGTCCCGAGTGAAAAGGTGAAAGTTCTCAACCTAATAAGGAAAGAAAAAGTCGACTGTTGAGATTGCTAAGATCTATGGTAAGAACAAATCTGTGAGATTGTAAAGAAGGAAAAAGATTCGTGGTAGTTTTGCTGTTAAACCTCAAACTGCAAGCTCTTGCCACAGTGTGTGACTGAGTGCTTAGTTAAGATGAAAAAGGCATTGAATTTGTGGGTGGGTGGGGACATGAACAGAAAACTTGTTCGGACGTGTGCCAGAGCACTGAGCCTGTGCAAGGGACCCCTGAAATGTGACCACATTCACATAACTTATACAGTATGTTGTAATTGTTCTATTTTATTGTTAATTTCTTACTTGGTCTAATTTACAAATTAAACTTTATCATAGGTATGTATGTATAGGAAAAACTATATATAGGGGTGTTCGGTACTAGCTTGGTTTCAGGCCACAGGGTATCTGGAACGTAATACCCATGCATAAAGGGGATTTACTGTATTTACCACTTTTATTCAAGTATTATGTATGGTATTGTGCAATTTTCTTTTTTTTTAACCTGAAGCAAGTATTTTGGGAGCTTTTCTACATCAGTAACTAAGTTCATCTCATTCTCTAATGACTAGTATTTCATCATATTGGATATATTACAATTTCATATTAGGGCACATTTGGATTGTTTCCATTTTTTTTCACTCTTTAAAACAAAGCTTGTGACTACTTTGTGTTTGTATCTGTACAGTAGTTTGTTTCTGTGCAGTAGGTCCCTAGAGGTGGATTGCTGTGTCAAAGGAATGAACTTTTAAATGTAATAGTGACTTGTTGCTCCCTGCCACCTCCAGGTTCTGAGTCACCTCTTAGTAGCTTTACATGTGTGAGCCAGCGATTACAGGAGGATCTGCTCATATCAATGGCTTATTGGTCTGGGTGGGGGTTTACGGATTAAATCTCTGCGGGGGCTAGACATTTTATGACACATGGCATGCTGGAATGTCAGGTTCTATTTCAAAGATGAGGAAACCAAGGCTTAGAAACTTAGGTCATTGAAATCGTCAGCAGTGGAGCTCCGGAACCCCAGGTAGGCTGGATAAAGCTTCTTGGGGAGCTCAGGGGGAGGAGGCAGGAGGCAGCCCCAGGTGGGGACTGCACCTCCATTGATCTCAAGCATGGCTGAGAGGCTCCAGGTGTGGGAAAGGATTTCAATTTGGTTGTAACTTGGGGGATGGATTCTTTAAAATACCAGCAGGAGCCATTCAAATGAATAATACTCAAACACAAAAGCAACTTAGTCTGTTCAGGAAAAACTCTAAAATATATTTCAGTACTTGACTGTTCCATGCATGTGTAATGGCTCAGAGGAGTTTTATTAGCTCCTCAGCCTTCCTTTCAATTAACCTGGCAGATGAGATTCCCCCCTCACCCATGCATTGCTCCAGTTCCTCAAATTTTTAATGAAACATCTGAGCTAATACGGCTTTTACAATTTGTATCACAATACTTAAGCACAGAGCAGATGGTGGCTAAGGAGAAGTGGGCGTAAGGCAGAAGAACCTGCTCAAAGCAGCCTGCTCAATAGGACTATTGATGGCTCTGGCTCCTACAGAAATGTGCCATGGAAGGCATGGGTGCCTTCGGATCTTGGTGGCCTCAGAGACGGCAAGTGAAGGATGCTAATAAGATCCTCCAGTCTCCAATCACTTTTACCTTCCTTTCTTAAAAAAAACCACAAAAAAACAAATTACAAAAGCACTTAATTGGCTCCTGAGTGCCAAGCCATGTATTGGGTTGTTGGAAAAGTCATGACGTATTTTTCTATGTTTTTCGTTGCAAAAATGCGTCATGACTCTTCCGACAACCCAACATTTAATAATGATCTGAAAGTGATTACTCCTGGGAGCCATTCAAAAACAAGCAAATAGCACAGGAAATCGCAGGACTGTGGGGGTGACTTGGGTGAGGGTCTGCATCTGCCCCAGGAATTCTAGAATCATGGAGAATATTGCCAATCATTTCCTGTACCCCTTGGAGAGGTGACGGGACATGCCACATGCACAGAGCCAGTGATGGCAGAGCTGCGACAGAAGCTGGTGACAATCTCCTGGTTTCTCTGACTGTGGGATGAGGGTCGGGGTGGCACTTGTGCTCTCAGAGCTTCAGTTTTTCTCTGAGGAGCTGTGTGACCTTAGGCAAGTCACTGCCTGTCTGTCCTTTATGAAATGAGGTTGAATTAAGCCAGTTTTGCTTAAAGAGTGGCCCTGGTTGAGTTGGTCTCTGGAGGTGGGGTCCCAGGCTGCCGCGGGTGAGCCTGAGCCCCAACCAGTGATCACCGGGTCCAAGCGGCTCCCAGCCTTAGAGGAGCCAGGGTCCAGGACCCCGGCAGAAGGTTTCAAATAGAGGTGGCCAGAAAACAGCCACTGCGTGTTGTGAGGTTCCCATTCTCTGTCTTGGGTTTTAAGACCCTCTTTTGACTCAGTTTCCCCCAAAGTCAGTTCCTCGGAAAAGAGAGGTCTCTTCTGCGAAGGGAGGTTTCTGCTCTTGGTGGAGGACAGCGCTGTGGCAAGTTGCCCCTTCATCTCCAAGATCCAACACGCATGGGGCAGCTCAACAAAACCAGGCGCCGAGTCTTGGGGTTTGGCCAGAGCCGTTCGCGGGCGCAGGGCCCACGGCACCTTTTGGACAGCAGGGGGCGCTGTCCTCAAAGCTTTGCGTCTGGAGCCGCGGGCTCCGGAGGCCGGGGCGGAGCCTGCGCCGGGGGAGGCCCGCGGTCTCCAAGTCCCAGCGCTGTCGAGCCGCGCGGGTGGAGGGCGATCCCGGTGTCTTCCCGGAGCCGGGCTGGGGAGCCGGCGGTGCAGAAGGTCCCGGGACCGCGATGGCCTGCCCGAGCTTTGCGACCGCGCGCGGAATGCAGCGTACTTTTGTAAAAGTTTATTATTGTTATTATTATTATTGTTAAATGTGCGCCTTGTAGGAAATTTAAACATGTAGAAACAAATCTCCCCACGGCCGCTTCCGGCAGAGACAGGCGCTGTTGAGGTGGGGGTGCCAGCTCAGGGTTCTCTCCTGAGCTTCGGCCTCCTGGTTGTTGGGGGGGTCTCTGTGCATCGCTTCCACCCTCTCAGAGCCCAGGCGCCACCCGCTGTACCCCTTCAGTTAACTGCGCAGAGCACTGGGAGAGTCACCCACGGCCCAGGATGGTGATTTTAAAGAACCCTGCCACCAACTCGACAAATGATGGTCGCCTGTGCGTCCACCAGGAGAGGGACAGGGGGCGCTCTGACCCTGTGGGAAGGGCTTCCCAGGGTTCAGTTTTTGACACTGCACAGTGAATGGGGTTACTAATATTTGTCTGGTTGTCGGAGGAAGGGAGTTGTATAGTGAGGGGGAGGCTGTGGGGTTTGTTGCTCTCCTGGCGGTAGCCCTGCTGACCTGGCCCGCGGGTCACTGAGACAGCTCCAGTCCTGTACCAGCGAGGTCTGTCCGTTCCTGGCTGCGTGGCGCCATGGGCAAGGCCAGTGCTTGGCGCCCAGACCTGGACTCACCTGGATGGCAGTCTTCCTGGATGGTAGGGGAGGGGGCAGCTGAAGAGGGGCGATATCATTGTCCCCTCCAGGTGTGAGCCAGGTACTCCCCGGACCCCCAGCCCAAAACCAGCTTGCTTCTGAGCCCTTCTAGGCTAGTAGGCTAGTTACCAGCTCTGTGGCCTCGGACGAGCTCTGAAATCCTTGTGTAGTTCCAGTTTCCTCATTTGGAAAACGGAGCAGGGTGCTGAGTGGAGGCCGCGTTGCTTGGTCCTGCCAGCCTCCCACTCTGCCTCTCACCTTCTCCTCTGGGAATTCTCAAAAAAACTCCGGAGGGCTCCAGGCTCGCCTGAGACTTGATAAACTCCGATGCCCCTGGCCCTGCTCTGACAGGCGGGATCTGCAGGTCTGGGTGGCACTGGGAATGCCCCTGGGACCAACCCTCCTGGGGGCAAGGGGTGAGCTCTACAGCCTGCAGCAGTGGGAAAGGAGGAGTCCGGGAAGGGAGGTGCAGAGAGGTGCCCTCACCAGACCATCGCCCACAAGGCTGTGTCAAGAGTGAGGGGCTTTAGCAGTTTGGGTGGGGAACTTGGGCAGGACTCTGAGTGGGTGTTTTCCTGAGGAGGGCTCACTGCTCCTGGGACGTGAGGACACTGGGCCTGGACAGCCTGGGGCCACATCCTAATCCTGGTTCCCTTGCTGAGGTCTGGGTTCTAAACCAGGGGTCACTTACCCAAGACCTGGGTTCTAATCTTGGGTTTACTTGCCCAGGACCTATCTCTCTCCCCATGGTCTCAACACTGTGAACGAAAAAGGGGCCACACACTAAATCTGACAAGCGCAGGGGCCCCCATGGCAGGGCTTACAAACTTAGTGACCATATAGGATGGCCTGAACATCAAAATTTCTAACTAGGGCAGGTCATGGCGGGTAGTCACAGCCTAGGCCCGCAGCTTCCCTGACAAAGGCCAGTCCTGACCTTAAGTGAGCCTGTCTGTTGTCTTTGTGCATCAAGGATCACAGACCTTTGAGATGTCAGAGTAATTTTAGTTTCCAGGCCCCTGAAAGGAACAGCCACCACTCCAGAGCAGAGACCACAGAAGCCCTCATTGTTATCTTGTTCCCCAAATACCATCTCTGTGCTGTAAATGTTAACTGTCCTGTACCCACCAATGTAAAAGTATGTGCCTCTCGGTTTTATCCAATCCTAAAGATTTCCCTGCTTGCTTTCTCCCACCCCCTTCATCTACCGCACATGCATTTCATGTCACCCTCCTGACGTCTCC